GGAGGGGGAGGAGGAGGGGGAGGAAGAGGAGTAGGCGGAGCGCCTGCATATGCTGACCTAACTCCCAGAAGACAGAAAGAAACGAGGAGGAGGAGGAGGAGGAGGAGCGTGAGGAAGCGAGAGAAGCAATCAATAAGAGAGGGGACCTCTGTAACGACTGTTGACGTCAACAAACCGCAACTACAAGGGGAGAGCAGCTTCGCATCCGCCGCAGTTTTGTTTTTGACGTCAACGAAAACAGTTGCACACGAAGGACTCGAAAAGTCAACGGTCATGTGTTGACTGTGTTCGGCAGCCAGGTTCGAGCCCGCGGTTTGTTGACGTCAACAAACCCCAGTCGAGAAGTGTGCTTCGCTGAGCCACTCTGAGGGAAGCAGATCTTCGCCGTGTCTGTCCGATTCCATCCCGACCCCAACAAGCGCTGTTGTTGGTCTCTTTGGTGTGTCTGCGCGCGCGTGTGTGTGTGTGTGTGTGTGTGTGAGAGAGAGAGAGAGAGAGAGAGAGAGAGAGAGAGAGAGAGAGAGAGAGAGAGAGAGAGAGTTTTCAGCACCGAGTTGTTTCGACATCCGGCCGAATGGGGGGAGGGGGGGTGTAGCGGGGGTTCTCTAGTATTGCTCCCCGGTTTGTCTTACAGTAGAAAATGGCTGTACCCGGTAACGGCTTAGAACCGTTTAGAACCGTTTAGAACCGTTTAGAACTGTTTAGAACCTTGCCTGCATTTAAAGTTGTTGGCCCGAAGATACTACTTCTAACCGTCTTCCGCCGAACACACAGCGCACTGTTGACTGTATAGGACCGGAAAGATCGCTTGTATACATTCATGATCAGGGAGCGTTTCGTTCGGGGAAAGACCGGAGAGAAACGACGGCGGCCGGTGTTTGATTGCCACACGCTATCGTTATCACCATCTTACAGGGTTCTAAACGGTGACGATTTGGGGGGTTCTTTCCCCCCCCTCCCCCCCCTCAACACTCAACACACACCACACACACACGTGCCCCTTCTATTCTGGGGGGCTCCAGTCCGGGGGAAGGTCCCACTTGCGCAAATTAGGAGATTTCGGCCGTCGATCTTTGCAATCTACGGTCAGTATCCCTTAATTCGTGCAAGTGGGACCTACATGTAGCCCCCGGTTGCTTATCACGGGCAAGCAACGAAAAAACAGATGGTGAAATACGAGGGATAGGATCCGTAATTCGGCATTGGGGGGGGTCTAAACGGTGGCAATTTGGGGTTTACCGGCAAGGGTTCTAAACGGTGACCGTTTGGGGTCTACAGGCAGGGTTCTAAACGGTCACCGTTTGGGGTCTGCAGGCAATGTCCTAAACGGTGACCGTTTGGGGTCTACAGGCAGGCAGGGTTCTAAAGGTGACTGTTTGGGGTCTATAGGGTTCTAAACGGTGACGGTTGGGGTCTACAGGCACGGTTCTAAACGGCGATCGTTTGGGGTCTACAGGCGGGGAGGCAAGGTTCTAAACGGTGACCGTTAGGGTTTACAGGCAGGGTTCTAAACGGTGACCGTTTGGGGTCTACAGGCAGAGTTCTAAACGGTGACCGTTTGGGGTCTACAGGCAGAGTTCTAAACGGTGACCGTTTGGGGTCTACAGGCAGAGTTCTAAACGTTGACCGTTTGGGGTCTACAGGCAGGCAGGGTTCTAACGGTGACAGTTTGGGGCCGAGTTGACATAAGGGAACGGACATATAAAATACTAGGCCTCGCTCCGCTAGTCAACACTATATATGCATCTGGACGCCTTTCTGGGCCAGGTGCGTTTGGAGGAGTCCAACATGTGGACTGTATCGGGACGGTTATGAGGTTTAGATGCATATTTAGAGTATTGTGTAGTGGAGCGAGGCCCACACTATTCTACTTACTATGACAGAAAAGGACAGAATCACTTTGCCGCATGGGCACTGGGAAGCGGCGCCACGTGGCTAGCAGGTACAGTCTGCTCTGCTTGTACTGTAGTCTCTCATGTCTGGTCCCTCTGAGGCATACTCACGCTAGGACTGGTATCTGGTCGTGATTGCGGCCAGATGCATCTGCGTACGGCCTTGATTGTGGTCAGACACGTTTAAGAAATTGCTACGGTAGTGTGAATACGCCCTGAGAGGATTTTAAAGGAGACGGAGGAGAGAGAAAAAAAAGGGGGGGGGGGGGGGGGAAGGAGAGGGAGGAGAGAACGGACCGAGGTGGGTGAGAACGAAGTAGAGGGGGGGACCACTGCGCCACGTGGGCGTGCCACATTGGCACTCGGAATCTGGTCGGAAATACAGCCACGTCGGCATCTACTGTATCTCTGAATCTGGTCGGAAATACAGCCACGTGGGCTCTGAATCTCGTGCTCGATCGACAGGAGGACAGGGAGATAGGGGGATGGGATTCGAGGGAGGAGAGAAGCGAGGGAGGGTTGGGAGTGAGACGTAGGTGGTCCAATCGATGCCCAAGAGAGGAGGAGTGGCTGGGTGGGGGTCTTCATCAGAGGAGTGAAACGACGAGGGCCCAAAAAAAAACAATACAAAAAAAAAACAAGAGTGGAGACCTGCTGCACGACCGGTGGGGAAAGGGACTGTGGGCCAAGGAGATTCGAAAGGGACAAGCCAAGGAGAGAGATCTGACGGCATTCTCCCAGGCTTGCACTCTAGGCTTGAGGATGTGCACCAAACAGGCAAATCAGGGCCACATTCAGTCGAAGACTTGAGGATGCACGAAACAGGCAAAGCAGGGCCACATTCAGTGGGAGAGACTTGTGGAGCGAGCTCCCCGTGCAGAGTGAGTGAGAGAGGCAGGACACTGACGAGACAGCTCACTCATCTGAGGGCATACACCCACGCATCTCACGTTCCTGGGTGCATCTAGTCGGCCAGCTGGGCCACATTCAGTACAAGAAAGACCTGTAGACAGTGTAGGGTGAGGTGTGCAAAATAGTGAGGGCACTGTCCAGACAAAAGGGCATACACACGGATCTCACTTTCCCGGATGCATCTAGCCGGCAAGCCGGACCAGATTCAGTAGGAGAAAGACCTTTAGACACTAGCTTGAGGTGTGCAAAATAGTGAGGGCATTGTCCAGATAAAGGGGCATGCACTCAGACACATCTCACTTTCCTGGATGCATCTGGCAAGCAAGCCGGGCCAGATTCAGTAGAAGAAAGACCTTTAGACAGTGTATAGAGTGAGGTGTGCCAAATAGTGAGGGCACTGTCCAGACATCTTATCCACAATCCCAACCGAGACGGCACATCCCTATCTTATCCACAATCCCAACCAAGACACGGAACAAAGCAGATCTCTCTCTCTCTCTCTCTCTTTTTATTTATTTTTTCCTTTTTAGATCTTATCTGATCCACAATCCCAACCAAGACGCAGATCTCTTTTTTCATTTTTTATTATTTTTTTGTTTTTTATTCCTTCCCTTTCTTAGATCTTATCTTATCCACAATCCCAACCAAGACTTATCTTATCCACGATCCCAACCAAAACACACATCTCCCTTTTTTTTTTTTTTCCCCCCCCTTACATCTTATCTTATCCACAATCCCAGCCAAGACGCAGATCTCATCTTATCCACAATACCAAGACGCAGATCTCGTCTTATCCACAATACCAAGACGCAGATCTCATCTTATCCACAATACCAAGACGCAGATCTCTTCCCCCCTCCCCCCCTTCCCTATTTTTAGATATTACCTTGTCCACAATCCCAACCTAGAGGGCGCATCTTATCTTATCCACAATCCCAACCAAGACGCCGATCTCTTTCTTTCTTCTTCTTCTTCTTCTTCTTTTTCTTTTTCTGTTATTTTTCATATCTTATCTTATCTTATCTTATCTTATCTTATCTTGTCTTATCTTATCTTATCTTATCCACAATAATACCATGATGCAGATCTTATCTTATCCACAGTAATACCGCAACACATATCAGATCCCTCCTTCCACAAAACCGACGACCAAGACGACAGAGATCTTATCTTATATCCACAATCCCCACCAAGATGCAGGCGTTATCTTATCCAAAAGTCTACGAAGATGCAAATCTCATTTATTTGTGGATAAGGCGATCCCGACAAACAGAAAGATCAGACCGCTTAACAAGAGAATAGACATCTCCCAGAACAGAATAGAACGCACGCTCATTACTGCGACATCCTAGACGGAAATGTCCCCCAAATAGAAATAGATCTATAATTGCCATCGCTGCGTTGTATTCGGGGGGCGGGGGAGAGTGGGGGGAGAGGGAAGGGGGGGAGAAGGGGAGACGATAAGACGAGCACGAAGAAGAAGAAGACGACGACGAAGAAGAAGAAAAAGACAGAAGCTGTCCCTTCTTGTTCTTGTCATTCTTCTTGACTTCCCTTAGCTCGTAGTCCATTTGAGAGAGAGCACCTCTCTCTCTCTCTCTCTCTCTCTGTCTCTCTCTCTCTCTCTCTCTCTCTCTCTCTCTCTCTCTCTCTCTCTCTGTGTATCTGTACCAGTGCCTCGTCTGTCCGAGTCTCTCCGTGTGGGGCTGGAGCTTATCCGTTTGTGTTTTCTTTGCTTTGAGTAATCCTTTTTGACCCTATCCACTCTTGTTTTGGTTAAGGCAGAGTGGATAAGGCAATTATGGCCGCGCCCTTCCCCGTGGGCAGTAGTGTAACCGTAGGACTGTGTTGACGTCTCCGTTAATTCGTTTGGGTATAGGGTCACCGCCGGCTGCAGTCTATTTACCCGTCTTCCCTCCGCCGCCCTCCGCCTCCCTCCGCCTCCTTCCGCCTCCCTCCGCCTCCCCCCGCCTTGGGCAGTAGTGTAACCGTAGGACTGTGTTGACGTCTCCGGTGATTCGTTTGGGTATAGGGTCACCGCCGGCTGCAGTCTATTTGCCCGTCCTCCCTCCGCCGCCGTCTGCCTCTCTCCGTCTCCCTCCGCCCTCTCCCCGCCTCCGTGCCTCTCCGTGCGCCTCCCTCCTTTTTCTCTCTCTTGGTGTTCCGTTCCCTAATAAGCTTGTTACACCAGAGTGCGGGGTATTGCTCCCCCCGCCCCCCTCGCTCTTCCGGTTGGCTGTTCATTTTTCGGTCTTTCTCCCTCGTTTTGCTGAGTGCAGGTTCTCTCCATGGACCACGATCGCGATCGCGGCCGCAGCAGCAGCGCGAACCAGGATCGCGATCGTGGAGGAGGTGGTTTCTATGGGGATCGCCGTCGGGAACCGTCGCGTGAGTACCGTGTTGCGCCGGGAGGGGGCGGGGGGAGCGGGGCAGGTACAGGGGGCGGAGCGGGGAGCCGAGACAGTCACTGGAGTTTGCGTGGGGAGGCGAGTTACTCTACCGCTCCCCACGGGGGCGGCGCGGGCGAGCGCAGCGCCGGCAGAAACTCCGACCATGGCGGCGACCCCTTCCGCTGCGCTTATCCCGCCGCCCCACCGCTGAAGATTCCCGGGGAGAGATGCAGCACGAGCGGCGGGGGCAGCAGCAGTCGGCTCTCCCTCCCCAACCGAATCGGCGCGGGCGCGGGGGTGGGGGAACGGGACACTTGTCCAGACAGAATGGCGGGTGGTGGTGGTGGTGGTCGTGTCCGCGGAGGAGGCGGAGGACTTGCGCCTCCGCCGCCGCCTCCACCTCCGCCGCCGCCGCCGCTTTCCTGCAGCAGCAGCAGCAGCAGCAGCACCAGCGCTCGCTCCCAGTTACCCGAGAGCAGCCAGCGATGGCGCAGAGCTCCCCCTGGCGCTGGCATCTTGGGCAGGGGGGATTATTCCCCCGCCGCTGCCGCCGCCGCCGCCGCCGCCGCCTCCTCCGCCTCCGCCGCCGCCGGCTGCTACGGCGGCGGGTACGACTTCGATCGCACGGATTGCCTCCCTGATGAGTGTCTAATTAAGATCTTCGAGTGCTTGGTGACATCCGCGGAGGCCATGGCGTCCATCTCTCTCGTGTGCCGTCGCTGGCACAAGCTGGCGTCGGAGACCAACACCCGCCTGTGCTTCTCTTGGAGGTCGGAGTTCGTGGAGAAGCGCGCCGATTTGTGTCTGGACAAGCTGATCACGCGCAGGTTCCCCTCGCTGACGTGTCTCATCGTTCAGGAAGAGTGCCCGCCCTCCTGCGGTTCTTCCTGCAGTTCCGGCCACGCGGACCGACCGCTGGGCGCCGGGGTCACCGACCGGTCGGCCAGGCTGATTGCCACCTGTTTGGGTCGCCGCCTTCGTCATCTGGAGCTCCACGGCTGCGCCTCCGTCTCCTCGCGCGGCTTAGAGCTGATGCTCCGCCATTGCGCGGGGCTGGAGGTCCTGCGCCTGGAGCTGCGCTCGAACAAGATCGTGCAGTACGCGTCGGGGCGGAGGGAGATGACGGACAAGCTGGACGACGGGGTGGTGGAGGCGATCTGCCAGCTGACGAATCTGACGGAGCTGAGCCTGCTGCACCCGCAGGTGAGCCTGTCGGCGGGGGGAATCACGGCGGGGAGGCTGTCGGAGATCCTGCGTCGCAGCGCGAGCTTGCGCCGGCTGAGCGCGGACATCAACGTGTGGGATACCGACCTGGACGTGGCGCAGGCCCTCTCCGACGGCTTCCAGCTGCAAGAGCTCTGCTTGTCGGGATGCAGGCAGTCGCCCTGGCACTCGCTGCCGGCCATCGGACAGTCGTGCAAGCAGCTGCGCAGCCTGCATCTGCAAGCCTGCAAGGTCTCCCGCGTGGGCTTGGAGGTGGTTCTGAGGGGCTGCGCCGTGCTGCAGAGCCTCCACGTGGTCCACTGCATGCGCGCCGATCGGCGCAACGAGAGCCTGCTCCCCTTCCCCGAGCTCCTCTGCCCCGCCATCTCCGACCTCAAGCTCGTCTCCTCCGACGCCTTCACCTCCCTGACAGCCATAGCCACTTCCTGCACGTCGCTTCAGCGCCTCATCCTGTCCACCAACTGCCACGTGCGCGGCCTGCGCCGGTTCAACGACGGCCTCTGCGTGCTGGCGGGCAACTGCCCCGCGCTGCGGGTGCTAGAGATCCCCTCCGACCTCTTCGAGAAACACGTGGTCAAGATCAACGGCCGCGCCTTGCTCGCCTTCAAGGAGAGGTGCCACTCCCTGCTCCAGCTCTCTCTCTCCGGCTGCGTCATCGACTTCCGCCGCCATATCCCTCTCTTCGTCAACCTGCGCAAGCTCGACTTCGGCTTCACCTCCCTCCAGCATCTCGACAACTGGACCTCAATGCGCGCCATCCTGACCGTCAATCCGGGCCTCTGCCACTTGTGCATCACGGCCAACGAGGAGATACTCCATGTCATCAGCCGCCACTGCCCCAAAGTGGAGTTCCTGCAGATCACCTTCAACTGGGGGGAGACGATCACCGAGGGCATGCAGCAGGTGGTGGCCAATTGCCTGAACCTGACCGAGATCCGGATCAGAGGGAACGTCGCGAGATGGTCAGAAGTGATTGCGGCATTGGGAGGAAGACCGACTTTGAGGATACTCTCTCTGCACTCTTTCGTCCCGACCAAGGAGATCTTCGAGTCCATAGCCTGCTACTGCACAGGGCTCACGGAATTGGAATTCAAGACCCCGTTTTGGGGGAACGTCAGCTTGAGCGCCGTCATGTTCGATGACGACACCTTAGGCCTGTTGGCAAGGAGCCTGAAGAGGCTGCAGGTCCTCAGAACTGTCTTCCCGCGCCTCCACTTCCACTCCCCTGCAGCTGACAAGCTCAGGGTTTGGACAGGCCTCTCTAGAATCAACCCCAGCATCAAACACCTACCCCTTTGCCCTTATCCCTAGGTAACAAGTATCTCAGAAGATCCTTGTGGATATGCATTGTTTTCAATTACATTATTTATTTATGTAATTAGTAAATAATAAATAAACACACACGCAGGGAAAACGACAAAACCGACATGCAAATGATGAACGAGGAGGAGGACGAGCCCGAAGAGGCCTGCTGCAGCTTTCCACTCTGCTCTGCAACTGACACGCTCACAGTCAGACTTCAGACCCCCCGGCCTGTCTCTCTGGTGGAATCGACCCCAGCATCCAGCCAACACCCCTATATACCCCCCCTTTGCCCCCTTCTCCATACTTGCGACGATGAGGATATGAAAAGACGCAACATAAATAAATAAAGGATAATAATAATAAAGGGTGGGTGGGGAGCGCAAAGACGAAAGCTCTACCGTCTTCACTCGAATAGAACGTCCCTACCGGTCATTCTAGATGTATCCCGGGCAACTTTCTGTTTCTAGATTAAAAAAAGAAAAAAAAGAAAAGATAATGACCCGGCGTTCTATTCGGGTGAAATGGGAAGGCCTCTTGGTACGGAACATGAAGAGGCTAGAACGCTCTTCCGCGTTTACTTTCGTTTTTTTTTTGTTTTTTTTTTAATAATTATTTATTTATTCCGGCGTTTACATTTGCACTCTCCTGCAGCTGACGAGCTCAAGAGCTCGAACCCGGGCAGTCTATCTCCCGTCGCTGACAAGCACAGAGCTCGGCTCGAGCCCGGGCTGTCTACGGATATAGATAGAATCAACCCCAGCATCAAAACATCTACCTCTTTGCCCCTTAACCGTTGTCAGACGGTACTCTGTTTTTTTTTTTTTTTTTTTAACACTCACGATAAGGAGGATATCAAAAGACAGATGATGAAGGGTGCAGGGGTATAAAGGATGAAGGGACATGAAATGGTTTAGGGATAAAGGGGGTTGGTTATACAGGGGGGATAAGAATAAAGGACCACTCTGTCTAGAATCAACCGATACATCCAACCCCTCTACCCCTACCTCTGTTCTGCCCCCCCCCCCCTTCTCCCCTCTGTTTCTTCGGGAAAAAAAAAGAAAAGAAAAGAAAAGAAAAAAGATATCTTCCACTGATGAAGGACCCTATATTGCGGGTCGCTGATGAATCTTCATTCGTCCAGTTCTTAGGATGGAAAAAAAGAAAAAAAGAAAAAAAAAGATGGGGGAAGAACTGGGTAAAAGGCTAATCATTGGACTGACGGTATAAAGATATACTCTATATATAATATATATATATATATAGGCTACCAGAGTGGCCCGGGTCCGCTTGCCCGGCCGGGCCAAAAAGAAATAAAAAAATAAAAAATTAAAATTTATTTTTTATTTTAAATTTGGTAACGAATTTCGATGTGACCCTGAGGCAAAAGTTGCTCAGTGCACAGCGGTCCTGATTTGGCCATTCTGTGTCTGGACGCCTGACCCATAAGCTGGGTAATGGTCCCAGTACTTTCTTTGATTTTCCGGGTTGCGTGTGGAGGGATTCCCGGCCTCCTTCTTTTTGCGTGGTATAATAA